TTTTTTGTTGTCCTATTAACCTGACTTGAACCGCAGTATTGCTCTCCCCATCTTGTTCTGTCTGATTATTATATATTCTATTTTGTTTGATAGTATCAATTTGAGGGTATAGGCAACCACTTTGAAGGCAATAAGATATACTATGATGCCCAATATGGATTGACTGTTATCCTTTTTTTGAAGTCCTGTAACGTCTCCAGTGTAGGTTTTATTGGTCTTGTTCTGTACTGTTTTGATCAATTCTATTATACCTGATGGTATAGACAACTCAATTTAAAAATAGCAAGAGGCACAACTTTTGATTACCTGGTATTCTATTTTTGCATCATGTGCTATGCCCACCCTTCTGTTTTAACTGACTCTGTTTTGCTTAGTCACATTTGGTTTTATTCTCTTCAAAAAAGTAATAAGAACCGTGAGAGTAATAAACCCAAAAAGTCTAATTGTTACTGTAAAAAAGAGAGGAAAGGAAGGTGGACTAAGGGATATAACTGCAGGTATGTTAGAGTGTGTAGGATAGAAAACCATATTACTGAGCTTCTGTTGGATCACTGAATGGAACTGTCTCCAATTTCACTGTATGAATGTTCACTTTATATGCTTTATTTAGTGATATGGACAACTGTTTCTGGGAAGATAATATGTAACCTATTAACTGGTGATTTCGTACTGTATATATTTTTTTCTTGAAACACTGTATTGGGGCTGGGGATTTAGCTCAGCGGCATAAGCGTCTGCCTTGCAAGCAGGCAGTCGTGAGTTTGATCCCTGGTACCGGTAAAAAGGAAAAAGACAAAAAAAAAAAAAAAAAAAAAAAAAAAAAGAAACACTGTATTATTTGTACCCTTTTACTGCATTGTTTTTTATGTCCTTTCTTTTTTTTTCTTTTTTTCTTCTCTCTTTAAATAAAAATAAAAAAAATTCATAGCTGCAGTGCTGGCTTCAGCAGCACATATACCATAAAAATCTTTGCAATCACATCACCAGTGATTATTATATAAGCTTTTCAATACCACATTTTAAAATAGGCATGTTTTCTCTGTCATTCTTATGTTACTGAACACATGCTTTTTATTATAAGTTGAATTTTGTTGTTTCTTCTAATAACATTTTTTTGGGGAGAGGGCAGTGCTAGGGATTGGGCCTTGTGCATGCTGAGTCCATGCTCTGCTTCATCTCCAGTCCCTAGAGGAATTCTTTAAATATTTCCTGATGTATACAATAATTATTGGGACTGGAGATTTAGCTAAGCAGCATAAGCACCTGCCTTGCAAGCAGGCGGTAGTGAGTTCAATCTCAAGTACCGATAAAAAAAACCTTGAATAATTATTGTACAAGTATGCAACAATAATTACTATAATAATATAATGCATATATATAATTATTGCCTTGGGTTACTATTTTCTAAGACTTAAAACTATTCTAGATTTAATTGTATATGTATGTATATATATATCTACACACATACTTTTAAAGATAACATAATTAAATAATAATGTTACTATTTTATATCTTTTCTGAGTCTACAATGTTTTTAATTTGTAGGTAATTTCGGAAATGAAGAGCACTTGACCTTTCTGTTCTGTGTGCGTTTGTGGTACACCCCTAGCTTGCCCTCCACTGGGAACTGTGTTTGTCCTTTCTGTGTTCTTCCTCCACTACCAGGCTCAGAAAGGGTGCCGTGGTGAGTGTCACAGGGAACTAACCCCCTGTGTGGGGTAACCCCTGCCACCACTCAGGTGGCAGTGGCACCTATCCCTGTGTGTCCACGCTGTGAGATGACATCATCTCTCTCTGCTCCTGCTGGGCCTGAGATGTGCTCCTGAGGGCTGAGCCTCAGTAGACATTGGGAAAAGGGGGACTCTCAGGAGGCTTCTAAGGACCAGAGCTTCCTGGGACCCCTTGTCTCTATTTTTACTGTTTTCCTTAAAAGTATTTGTGACATTTATGTTAGTGCAGCACACTCAGGACAGTAGTATGTGTCTCACATTCATGCAGGCACTTCAAAGACCCCACTTAGAGCAGACAGCACACCCCTAGTCACCCTTACCACAAGGAGTCTCTCCATGCAGGGCAAAGTTTTGCCCTTGGTCTGGCTTTGGCAAAGAGTGTTGCTTCCCTTTGGATGGGACTGAGTAGGTCTTTGCTTACCTGTGTGTCTGCAGCACCTGCTGGGATCCTCACATCCTGGGGTGGGAATGAAGCCTGTACGTGTTCCTCCACATGTGGTGTCTTCCATCCCTTGGTAGGTCCTCCTTTTCCCAGCAGCAACCTGGGACTCTGACTGGGCCTTCGAAGCTAGATAGAGCTGATTGATGGGCACCAGATGACCTATTGGGAGAGGAGGGAGTCAGCTTCATCCTGCCCAGGTCTTTGGACCTGAGTTTAACCGAGAGGCAGAACCTTGGCCTGGGGCAGAGAATAAGGGCAAGAAAGCCCTTCCCCAACTTGAAGTCTGCCTTAAGACATGAGGCCCACTCCACCCTCTCACTGTCATATAATAGTACTGGGGGAGGCCAAGAGGGGACCAGGCCAGGGGAGACACTTGAGGCTCAGCACAATCCAGGCTGAGTGCCAGGGATGAACCTGGCATCTCCTTGCTACCTGAGTCAGGGTGAAGTCCCTGGTCCCGTTATGTTTAAGGGACAAAGAAGCCCACTTTTGGGGGTATCTGTCCCAGGGACTCTCCAGGTTCCATTTCATGTCTGAGTCCTACCTGGCACCTGTCCCAAGATTTGCTCCTGAGATGGCCTTCTATGAGATGCAGATGGAGGAGAGGCTCCTCCCTAAGAAACCAAACAAGTCACACTGGCTAGAAGCACTCACTGGTGGCCTCAGGGGACTAGGCCCAGGCAAGAAGTGAGCTAGAGTCTGGTCTAGAGGGATGGACCTCAGCTCAGATAGCAGGCCGAAGGCTGAGAGGGGGATGTCAGAAGCTGGCTGAGACAGCACCTGGGCCAGAGAGGATTTGCTGAGACAGTACCTAGAGTAGAAGCGGCCTGGACTCGAGGCTGTCCAGGGCTGTGATGGATCTGCACCTGTGTAGTCTAGGAAGGTACAGGGGGCCCGGGAAATCCAGGCCTAAGTGGTTGGAATAAGCCTGGCCACAAAGAGGGAAATGTAACATTTGGGTTTTTTAAAATTTCATTTTGTTTTTCTCTTGAAAACTCTACCCCATCTCTGGTCAGCTCAGGGTGCTGGAGGAGGGGATGTGGGAACCCCAGACCCTCATAACATAAACCGTGGCAGCCTTATTGCTGGCCCTGCCCAGGGTTCCTCCTCAGTCTCCCTACCTCTCCTGGCCTGTCGCTGCTTGCTGGCTGTAGTGGAATCGGCTTCTCTAGTTTCTGGTAACTTCATCAGGCTGCATCATGTTGCTAAGTGTAGAGATAACATCTCCCCACTGGTAACCCTTCCCTGTCAGAGCCCCCTGAGGCTGGTCGGGGGTGTCGGATGAATCTGGGGTGTCAGGCAGAAGCAGGTTGACAGGACCACTGAACCAGTGTTTAGGAACACTGCCATTTGACCCAGGACCCCAGGAAAAGGAGGCGGCAGAAGCGGTGGGCAGTTGAAAAGATCGTTGCAGGCCACAGGGTTCCCTGGTACCACTGCAGGCTGCTGATGAACTTCCAAGCCAGGGTGCAGCCAGACCCACCGTCCCCAGGCTGTGCTAACAGATCTACCTTAACTCAGGCCCTGGGCGGGGCGTTCTTGATGCCCTCTTTGCAGAGCCAGCCCAGGTCCCTTCGTGGAGCAACAGCAGCTGCCAGCTCACGTCGGGCTTCCCAGCGCCATGATCCAGGGTGCCTTGGAGACCAGCGGACCCCTCTGGGGTTGGGATGGGAACGGTGAGGATGACTCAGGCGGTGCTGTGCTTGCTCTGCTGGCTCTGGCTGTGGTAGCTGCCACAGCGCTGGCTCTACACTGGTTCGGCTCCGGACAGGACCAGGTCGTGGTAGGACCCGAGTCAACAGCCCCCAGGGTCCAGCTTGCTCAGGTGGGAGCAGCTAGACTGAGCCTGCAGACCCAGTCCAAATTCAGTGGCTTGGAGGGACAGAGCTCAAGGCAGGGAAAGCCAGACTCTCCAGGAAGAGGCCAAAGAGCCCCTGTTCCAGTTGGAGCCCATGAAGGGGACTCCCAATGGGGCGGAGGACTGGTCCTGCTTCCCATCAAGGCACACGGTGAGGTGGCCAGCGGAGGGACCGTGGGACAGCAGTGTGACACCACCTCAGGAGCCTCGCGAGGGGACAAAAATGAGCCTCCGAAGCCAGATGGTGACATTCTGGGTAGGAGCAAGGTGGAGGGGACTCCCGCGCCCCTCCTGATCCACTTCACTCCTCAGAGTCCTGGCTGCGAAGCGGAGCTGCAGGTGAATGCCGGCAACTGTGGCGCGCCGGGCAGAGGCCGGAGCGGCCGGCGGCGGCGACGCGGGGACATGGGCTCGGGAGACAGACGCAGCCGCCCCGCCAGGCCGGACCTTCTGTGCCTGGGCGCTGCCGCCAGCGTGTGGGATGCGGTGGATGCAGCTGCAGCCGCCCAGGGAACTCGGGGGGCCCCGGGACGCGAGAAGGGTGGGCCCTGGGTGAACCCTGGGCGCACTGCAGGCCCGGGGAATGCGTGGACGGAGGCCTTAGGGTTGGCTGGGACCGAGATGCACAGAGATCCCCAAGCGAAGAAGGGAACAGGGTCTCCGAAAGACGAGGGCAGCGAGCAGACAGCTCAGGGGTCCTGTCCTGGCCTCTTCCTCCTCTCAACTCCCGACCCCGATCCTTTAAACCCTTTGCTCCTCAGGGTTACCCAGGTGCCTTCTAAGGCCACGAATTGCAGAGCAGCGCCAACCTCCTCCCCAGTCCCGATCTTAGCCTCAGCCCCAGGGGTTGCTTCAGCTGCAGCCCCAGTGTCACCCCTGCCCCTAGCGTCGCCCTCAGCCCCAGCCGAGGCGTCACCCCCAGACCTAGTCCAGGAGCCACCCTCAGCCTCAGCCCAAGCATCACCCCCAGCACTAGCCCAGGCGTCAACCCCAGCCTCAGCCCCAGCCCAGGTGTCATCTCCAGCCTTAGCCCAGGTGTCACCCCCAGCCTCAACCCAAGTGTCACCCCCAGCCTTAGCCCAAGCGTCAACCCCAGCCTCGGCCCCAGCCCAGGTGTCACCCCCAGCCTTAGCCCAGGAGCCACCCCCAGCCTCAACCCAAGGGTCACCCCCAACCCCAGTCGAGGCATCACCCCCAGCCCCAGCCCCAGCGTCGTCCCCAGTGTCACCCCCAGCCCCAGCTCTAAGCCCAATCTCAACTCCAGCTCCAGCCTCCCTTCGAGCTCAAACTCCAGCCTCTACTGTAACTTCATCTCCAGTGTTAGCCCCAATCCTGGCCCCAGAAAGGGAGTCAAAGCCTGTGTCTTGGGAGCCCAGTGTGGGTCTTTCCAAGGGCTACCAGGAAGGGCAAATTTTAACAAGCTGGGGAAACCTTATTGCCATGGTTCTGAGAAGCCACCCCTTGTCCAGGCAAGAGAGGCCCCAAGTGAGTGCTCCAAGGACAGCACCAGTAGTTTATTCGGACCCCAGCACTTCCACATACTCTAAGGACAGGTGTTCTGGTTCCCACTTGGAAGGGGCTGTCTCCAGCCTCCAGGATAGGCACACCTCTTCTTTAGGGACAGTCGCACAGGTAGACATGGGGGTTCTGGCAGAAGCAGGATGTCAGCCACAGTCCGAGAGCTTCAAGACCAAGGGGGCTCCCACCCCTCACCCACCTCCAGGCCCAGGAGGCAATGGAAGCAAAGAGAAACATGTGGACTCACTGCCTCCAGCTGCAATGCCAAGGGCCCTTTCACAGCCTGCTGTGCAGATGCAACCTGGCCCCACACCATCCTGCACTGCGAAGCAGGACTCCCAACTTGTCCCCAACTCCAGGAAACACAGTATGTGTGAGCTAGCACAGAGCTCAGAGAAGGTGGTCAGCCAGGCAGCCCTTGGGCAGTACCAGGGAAAGGAGCCAGGGGATAGAGCCAGTTCAGCAGGCAGCAGAAGAGTCCTCACAGAGAAACAGAAAGAAACTCAGAAACTTATGGTTTTTCTGCAGAAGCCTGGAAGCTGGGGGGTGGTTGAGGGACCCCAGAGTCCCCGTTCTCAAACCTTAGAGTCTACCACAGCCATGGCTCTGTGGCCACAGCGGCTTGACCTAGACAGCTGCCTGGAGGTGCTGGCCTTTGCCCAGCAGCATGGGAAGCCTGGCCTGGCCCAGGAGACCTACTCCTTAATGAGCAGCAACCTGCTGCATGTGCTGAGTGACCCACACCTCTACCGCCAGCTAAGTGGAGCTGAGCGGGAGCGTATCCTGAGCTTGCGGACTGGCCAGGGTCAGGCGGTGTTGGGACTCCTAGTGTTGCCTAGCCTCTACCAGGTGGGCCGCTCAGGGATGATGAGGGGCTCTCATGGTGAGGAGGCCCCTGTAACCCAGCTGGCATCCACACCTGCTCATACATACCTGTATGTGTTCAATCCCCAAGAGAACATGTGGCGACCCTTGACCCAGGTGCCCCAGGAGGCCCCACTCAGGGGCTGTGGCCTCTGCACCATGTACAATTACCTGTTCCTGGCAGGCGGCATCCGTGGCTCTGGTGCGAAGGCTGTCTGCTCCAATGAGGTTTTCTGCTACAACCCTTTGACGAACATCTGGAGCCAGGTTCGGCCCATGCAGCAGGCCCGAGCTCAACTCAAGCTGGTGGCCTTGGATGGGCTGCTTTATGCTATTGGAGGTGAATGCCTGTACAGCATGGAGTGTTACGACCCACGCACAGATGCCTGGACTTCACGGGCACCCCTGCCTGCGGGCACTTTCCCTGTGGCCCATGAGGCTGTGGCCTGCCGTGGGGACATCTATGTCACAGGAGGACACCTCTTCTACCGTCTGCTCAGATACAGCCCTGTGAAGGACTCTTGGGATGAGTGCCCCTACAGTGCCAGCCACCGGCGCTCCAGTGATATGGTGGCCCTGGGGGGCTTCCTGTACCGCTTTGATCTACTGCGGGGTGTGGGTGCAGCTGTGATGCGCTACAACACAGTGACAGGCTCCTGGAGCCGCGCTGCCTCACTGCCACTGCCTGCCCCTGCCCCACTGCGCTGTGCTGTGCTGGGCAACACCATTTACTGCCTCAACCATCAGGTCACCGCCACCTTCACAGTCTCTGAGAGGACTGCTCAGTTCCAGGCCAAAGAACTGCAGCCCTTTCCTCTGGGGACTACAGGGGTCCTGTGTCCCTTCATCCTGACACTGCCTTCTGAGGCCTGGTTGCAGACCTCACTCTGAGCACTGGCAGAGAACCAGGGCTAAGGTGGCTGTTCAGGGAGACCATCCCAGTGGGTCTGTGGGGATGTGGGGCATAGGGAGGACACTAGGTAAGAATTTCCTGTGATACCTTTCCCTCTTTGCCTAGAAGGTCCCAGCTGTGTGTGGAATGAGCATCTTCTGCCTTCTTACCCCACTCTGGGCTCCACACTGCCTCCTTGCTCACTCACACCCTGGTTTCCTGCCTGGTCCTTATCTGCGTAGCCTACCTCAGCTTGTTCAGTCACCCCTCCATTGTGGGATCCCTGGTGCTCCCACAGCCAGGAAAGGAGACAGCTGGAAAGGTATTTGTGCTCCTATGTTCTGTCAAGGTGGAAGAGGCAGCAAAGAGGTCCACAGAAAATGTCCTCACTCCTGGGACTTCTGCCATCCTGAGATCTTCTGGAAACCAGACTCATCCTTTTCCCTATGGGTCTGCTTGGAACCTTTGCCTGTGAAGCTGGGTTGGATTTGTGCTCTGCTCTCTGCAAGCGCCGTCTATGTCCCGTCTAGGCAGAGCCAGCACTGCTTGGCTTCTTTACACCTTTGGGGGGCTCTCTTGGGCCTTCCAGGGAAGGCCTTACTCCGTTTTCCATCAACCTCTCCCCAAAATGAGCCCTAAGTTGCACCTAGTTCTGTCCTTTAACAGCTCTGTGGGATTGGATAAGACATTTAACCCTCATTTTCCTTGTAGATATTGGACACTTGTCATTCAGGAAAGTTTGAGAACATGATCACCAATGCCAGTGTACACAACATGAGAAATTATGTGTGTTCTTCCCTTAACCCACTTCAAAACCCACTTTAGGTGGATAAATAAATCTGATTTAGTACTACTGCCTGTCCAAACCCTGATTTGTCCTTGTCTAGGCCATTTTTTACTTTTTATTCTACACTTAGTATCACTGGTGCCAAATACTTGTTCAACCCAAGAAGCATCTGCATCTTATACATGTCATGCTTTGCTAACAAAGCTCAGTAAGAATCTGAGAGGATCATGATGCAGGAAAGAAAGGGGTCATAGGGATGTGCTTCAAAATAAGTTTATTGAGAAACAAGACTGTGCATACAGCTGTACATCAGGGTAACTGACTGATCCTGAGCTTCTGGATGGTGGCTGTAACTGGGCAGTGGGGTTTATTGCTTGCGTTTGGTCTCACTGAGCAGCTCCTGCCAGTTCTTCTCCATCTCCTCCTTGCAGTTGAGGAAGGCATCTTCCAGCCGGCGCATGAACTCTGCCAGCACAGGGTCAGTGCGCATGACGACCATGTCATAGGCCATCCAGGTTGCCTGCACTGCAACAATCAGACAGGCCCAGTGAAACTACAGATGACACACAACTCTGGGCACCTTCAGCTGTGCTCAAATTTCAGGGGTCAGACCCCACTAGGACATCAGACTTCCAAGGAGAAAGAGAGTAGTTGCCTACATGTTATAGGGTTCATAAAACTACAAACACCCTTCAACAAACAGCAGTGATTACATTTCTTGGTCTCCCACAAGCCTTAATTTCTGGATACGTCAACCCAAGCCAGGAAATGTGGAGAACTTCTGCTATGAAATGTGAGAGAAACAAAAGTAACCATAGGCCCTGTACGTGTAGTGCACAATTAGTGGCTTCAGGGTGACCCTTAAGGCATCAAAACATTTATCCAAGCTTATACACTCAGTTGGGTTGGGTGTTCTCAGCCCTGCAAACTCCAAGCCTCACATTTCCTATGGTCAGTGTCCTTGGATGCCTGTCCACCTGTAGCTGGGTATGTCTGCACTTTCAGGCTCAAGGGAATGGGTGCTCTTCCATTTAGAGTCCTTGAGCATCCACCACTGCACTGATGGGCTTTCCTGCTCTTTTCCTAACAGCAACGTGGAGGAAGGTCTACTTGGGTTTCTAGATGAACACATGTCATAAGCAGACTCAGTGAGGGATGTTTTAAAGCTCCCACCACTGCCCCCTAGAACTATAAAGCACAAAGGTCATGCTCATCTTTGTGACAGCCCAGCACCATAAATACATCCCCTTAGAACTCTTCTTTGTTGTCCTAAAAAATACTGGATATATGGATAAGCAATGTCCTCGAGGAAATTAGCCAAAGAGGGTTAGAGACAGAGAGAGAGACAGAGAGAGAGAGAGTACATATGTATGGATATACAACCAAGGCCAACTGAGAAGCATGCAGAATATTTTTATGCATTTCATAGTTTTAACTGAGCAACAGCTGCTCAGTTAGGGAAAAAGTGCTAGGAAAGTTGTGTAGTGTCTGAGAAGAGTTCATGTGACTCTAGAGCTGGTATATTATTCCTGGACTTTTGGAAGCATGCATGTGTAGAGTAGCACCTAAACAATTCTCCTTGACTAAAGAGCAATTACCTTCATTTTGATTAAACCTGGCCCTGTCTCCATATACTGATACATACAGAGCTGGCTGAGCTATTTCTTTATCCCTTTAATTGGCTTTAAGCAATGTAAATAAGCCAGCCAAGGTTTCTTGTGTAATCTTTGAAGCTAGTGACAGTGGCTGTTTCCCACTCCCCAAAACCATGATTGAGCCAGTGAGATGAAGAGCTAAAGCTCCAGGGCTCTCATCTGGGATTGAGCCTTGAGATAAGAGACTATGACTTCCCATGGCAGGAAAGTTTATGTGTCAGAGATGAAGCACTGGCCCTAGGCCCCAAAACATTAGACACTTCCTCAATTATGTCATGAAAATTGGTCTTTCTGCATATCCTTATCTTTACATATTACAGAGGTGCTATAAAGCCCCCTATCTAGCCCAGCTCACAGTAGGCAAGTATTTCCTGCCATTCTCATAGTCACTCACCTTAGGGCCCCAGAACTTCCCGTAAAAACTATAAATATGTTTTAGTGTCTTTATTTGCACCATTGGTTACACTAGAAGTGGTAGATTGGAATTAACTCACTAGAATTTCAATAATTTTTCTATGGGATCATAAATATAAACTTCTCAGACTGAGATGAGATCTAGGAAGGGCTCTCTATAGCATGAATAGTACCCGGGACAGTTATCATAATGTAGACTGCTACCCCCTTCACAGACCTATAACAGTTCTTGTCTAGAACATTGGAGATGTGCCTGGGAATTTCTATTCTAACACCACTCTGGATTGTTCTGATATACGGAGTCTGCAGATCAACCTTCTCTTTTCTTTTGAGACAGTTCTCACTAGGTAGTTTAGGGTGGCCTTGAATTCACTATGTAGCCCAGGTTGGCCCTGAATTTATGGCAGTACTTTTGCCTCAGCCACCTGAGTGCTGGGATTATAGGTTGGTGCCACCATGCCTAGCAAGACCATACTTTTAGACTCCTGGACAGTGGGTGACATGCAGACTTAGGAACAAGAGTAGATTTGCTTCCTAGTTCTCCACTTGCTAACCACAAAACCTTGAACAGAGACTTAAAATTGCTAACTTTAGTATCATCTGCAAAGTTAAGATTATTTATTGATTTCATAGCTTACTATGAAGAGATAGTTGACACACATATGTCATGCCTGGAATACAGGTTATGGACTGGAAGTTTGTGTCCACCCCTCTCCTTCATTCATATGCTGAAATCTAACCTGCAAGGTGAAGGTATGAGGTGAGCCTCTGGGAGATGAGTAGACACAAAGGTGGAGCTCTTGATGATGGGATTGGTGTCCTTATAAAAGAGACACGAGAGCTTACTCTTGGCCACATGAGGATACAACGAGAAGGTGGCTTTCTGTAAATGAAAAGAGACTTCTCACCAGATACCAGGCCTACTGGCATCTTTTTTTATTTCCTTGTACCAGGCATCAAACTCACAACTTCATGCTTGCCAGGGAGGTGCTGTGCTGCTAAGCTATGTCCCGTGCCCCTTTTATGGCATCTTGATCTTGACTTCCCAGCCTCCATAACTGTGAAAAAACATGTTTTTTAAACCACCTAGTCCACAGTAATTTGTTTTAGCAGCCCCAAATGATTAACATAAATTAATACCAAGAAGCAGGGCACTGTGATAACAAACATGTCAAAGTGGCTTTGGAACTGGGTCTTGGGTTCGGAGAGCAAGAATTTTTTTCCCCCAAGAATTTTGAAGTCCATGTTAGAAGTTGATACAGTATTTGCCATGAATGGAGCTTTATAGGTAATTCTGTTAAGAATTCACAAAAAAGGAATTTAAACAGGAAACTCTATTTCTTAGAAAATATTTAAGTGATCATGAATAGAATGCTTATGGAAATGCAGATGGAGGACATTCTGGTAAGGTCTCAGAAGGAAACAAGCAGTAAGTTAGCAGAAGCTGGAGGAAAGATGACGCTTGTCATAAAGGGGCAAAGAACTCAGCTGACTTGTATTCATGTTTTAGTGGTTTGTGGAAGATAAAACTAATGAGCAATGAAATAGGATATTTAGCTTTTTTGATCAAAAAGAAAGCAATCTTTATTTTTTTTAATCTTTTTTTTTTTTATTGGTACCAGGGATTGAACTCACGACCGCCTGCTTGCAAGGCAGGTGCTTATACCGCTGAGCTAAATCCCCAGCCCTGAAAGCAATCTTTATTATAAAATAATTAATTGAAGTACTCAGGGCTAAGAATTATGGTGGTTAATATATTAAAATCAGGGAAACAAGCAGTTTTCAGAAATAAAACTCATACATTACTCCATAGAAATATCCTAGGCCAAAGTAGGAAAGGAAGCGTATTCAACTAAAAGATTCAGTGTTCATAACAGAGAAGAAAATCCATTGTTTAAAACACTTGTATCCCAAAGGAAAAATTTCCAATGGGTGTTTAGGAAAGGAATGTATGGTAGTTGGAAATGACTGTGACAACATCTCTATTTAGAGATGGGACTCTTGCTATGTTACCCAGGCTAGCCTCAAACTCTTAGGCTAAAGTGACCCATCTGTCTCAGCCTTCCAAGTAGTTGGGACGATGGGTATATACTGCTCTTGCAGCTTGATTTATCTATTACAAATACAAAACGGTCCTTTGGATCTGAGGTTAGGGTCACTGGTAAAAGGAAGCTGCTAACATGGCATATATACATAGTTTAGAAAGCCAATTTGACAAGATACAAAAAGATGGCATCAAAAGTGCATAAAAAGTTCAGAATAAATACAGTAGGAAGGTCTCAATATAATCAGAAAATCCTCCAGAAATATATGTACCTGGAGGTTTTCATTCATTCATTCATTATTTGCTGAATATCACTTTGTGCTGGCATTTGCTAGTGTAGTCTGGGGAAGACGGATTTTAGTGTCCAGTGTCCACACTCACTGCAGAGGGTAGAGACAATCAGCATGCAAGTTAAGTACAGACTGTGAAAGGTGCTGTGAAGGAATTAAGTAGACTATGTTGTGATAGAGAACTGTGAGAGGAATTTTATTTTGTATATATAAATATATATTAAAACGTGTGTCTATTTCTGTACTTTGGTGCTACTATATTTTGTTGCTCAAGTTGTCTACTACTATGTTTATCATCATTTTACTTACATAGCTATGTAGCTAATTATTAGCTTTACAGTATATAGCTATATATGTAGCATTATGTAATATAGTTTTATAATAAATCTCATTAAATGTAGGGAAAATCTCCTTGTCTGTTTTTACTGAAGTATCTTAGCTATTTTTAATTCTTAGGCTTTTCATAAATGCTTTAGAATCAAGTTATCACATTCTATAAAAAACCCTAGTAGGATTTTTTGAGGTACCGGGGGTTGAAACTATAGTGCACACTAAGCTATACTTTCATTTCTTTTTCTTGTTATTTGAGTTAAGGTCTCAATCAGCTGCCCAGGTTTGCCTGGAACTCATCATTGTCCAGGCTCAGCCTCTAAGTAGTTGAGATTTCAGATGTGTACCATGCCAAGCTAAAAAATGCATTCTAACGCTTCAATGATGACATAAAAAATGCACTTAACTATTGTATATTGATCTTACATCCAGCCAACTTGCTAAACTATTATTCCCAACTATTTGTGTTTCACATGTGTAGCTAGCCTCCAAGTTGACTTCAGTGGTCATTATCTTTTGGTAGGCACTCCTTTGTGCAGTTCTCTCGTATACTACACCAGAGTTGATCCATGTGATGAGTACAATGTGGCAGAAGTGATCTTATGCCATTTCTGGGAATTTCTCTGAGTAAAGTAATGACCAGACCTATGCAGAAGACACAAAGAAAGTCAACAGCTATGTGAGTCTGGAAGCAGATTCTTCAGCCTTCAGTCAAGTGCTACTCCTACTATCTTCACTGTCACCTCATGAGAAATATGGCCCACACCAGTCAGCTATGCCACTGTCAGATTT